GCCTCACCATGGCCGGCGTCCACCGCATAGGAGCTGGTGCGCTGCGAGAATTGACGTGTTTTCGTTTTGCGCTTGGCCCGCACCGAACCCGTCTCGCTGCCCTGATCCCCGCCAGGTGTGCCGGCGGGCGCATGGGCTCGCACTCGTAGCGCTGTCTTCAATGGCGCACGCTGCGTGGCCAGCTGTTCGTAGTTATCGTAATCCTCCCCATCCTCGTCCTCCTCCTCCTCCTCCTCGTCCTCCTCGTCGTAGTCGTCATCGTCGTTGTACTGCTCGTAGACCACCTGGTCGCTAAGGTTCCGCTGCGCATAGCTGACTCGTGTGCTCGTCGTGCCCGCCGCCTCGCACGAGCTGGAGTCCGTGTCCGCATCCGAGAGGGCGGCCCTCTGTTGCTGTTGTTGTTGCTGTTTCTGCTGCTGGGCTATCAATTTCTTGCGTTGCCTTTGACGCCGCTGAAGTGGCTTCGCCGTCGATTGATGCCCCTGCAGCTCATTTGTATGCTGTGCCTGCTGAGCCTGCCTCTGGCCATCTACTGGCTGCTGTTCCTGCGCCTGCTCATTGTCTGTGCCCGCCGCCGTCTGCTCCTCGTCGGGTTCATCGCCACTGAGCGGCGCGTTCTTCGTCTATCGAGCAGAGTGTGTACAAAACGGTATCAAATTTTAATGGCAACGCGACGCCAAATCAATAAAAATATCTAAGAACGACTTTAAATTATAGCAAGAGACTTATATTCATTTCGAAATGCGAGCGAAATACCGGAATGACATGTAGAAGTAGTGTAGACATAGAATACTCAAGGGTTTTCTTCACATAGAATAAACAAAAATACATTCATTACATTCTTTATATACTCTATAGGCCTACGATCAGCTGTATGCTCAACGCTCTCTGATCTAAGCTCTACGTCTTATATTCCAGCTGTATGCTCTACGCTCTTTGATCTACGCTCTACGCTCTACGCTCTACGCTCTACGCTCTACGCTCTACGCTCTACGCTCTACGTTCTACGCTCTACGCTCGACGCTCGACGCTCGACGCTCTATGCTCAACGCTCTACGCTCTACGCTCTACGCTCGAAGCTCTATGCTCTACGCTCGACGCTCTTCGCTATACGCTCTACGCTCGACGCTCTACGCTCTACGCTCTACGCTCTATGCTGTACGCTATACGATCTACACTCTACAATTTTTGATTTACTCTCTACATTCCACACCCACACATTCCACATTAGAGATGTTCCCCTTACCATTAGCTGCCTCAGCTCGCGGGCAATTGTTGAACCAGTTAAAAACTTGTTAACTGCCGTGAAAAGGCGTTTTCCTTCCAATTTGACGGCCTTGCTTGCGACGGCTTAAGACTTTGAAGGTATTGCTTCCGCTATTCGCTGCCCACCTGGTTGGCCGACTGTTGGATGTGCGCGCTCTAGTTACACTGCTCCATGCTGAGTTGTGTTGATGGGACGCATTGGTGTTGCGCACTTATTGCTATTGTCCTGGCCAGAGCGGGGCTTCGGCTGGAAAATGAAAGGGAAACAGCGATATGATAATTAAGCAATTCACTCACACGCGGGTTCGGCGCGATTCAATTGGCTGCGCGTAATCGATGCCAGCCTTGTACGCCGATCAATTCCATTAGCATTAAACATTTAAATTGGCACGTTTCAAATTTGCTGCCATTGGCTAACGGCCTCGACGTGCCCGCATATGGCCCAGCCCAGCCCAAAGAGCAAGGAGGGGGCAGCCAGGAGAAGGAACACTGCCAAGGGATGGGAGTGCGTCCATCTCCCCCCACACACATACACACACGCACACATGTCTACCTGTCGAGCTAATCAGGCGCTAGTTGAAAACCATCTTGCAAATCGCATGACAGGCAGTTCACAATTACATGTCGGAATTAACCATACATAGCTGGGCAACGTGGTCGTTGGCCGTTGGTCCGGCCTGTCCAACTGCCAGCCACAAGCTCAGTGCGACAGCAGTTAATTTAACAGCTGAATGCATCGCATGCATTTAGTTCTCTTTAACTATTCCCATTCACTGACAACGCATATGCAGAGGCAGGTGCAGGCCAGCTACACATGTGTGCAACGGGAAAAAGTTTTATTATCTATACATTAGTAGAAATACTAGGTGCAGGTGGCCCAGCTGCATGATGAGTTCAAAGGTACATAATGGACCAGGTAAATAACTTTTTAATACTCTTCAAGTAAACATGGTCATGAATGTGGGGTTGTATACCCTGAACGAAAGCAGGGTATAATGGTTTCGCAGAGGAAGTGGAGGCAGATGCCAAACATGTAATAATTAATTTATATA